TTGATCTTAATCTAGATATTTTGCAGTTTTGCAATACTGAAATGATTTTGCAGAGAACATAGAGAGAGCGGTGAGAAATTCGGAAAGGATGGTGGTCTTTGCAACTGACAATCTTGCAGCAAGCAGGTAAGCCTCGTTGGGCGCTTGGGCAGGGAAGATGGTGGTGGATGGGTGGAAATGGTGAAGCTCTTTGGGTATTCCTGTGTACAGTATATAACTAAACAAACACACGCACAAACGCACCCCACATATATATATATATATATATATATATATATATATATATATATATATATATACATATATACACACAATATGATGCTTTCTGTCCCGTCAGGTGTTCTCTGCAAGAGATTCGTCGCGGGCGTTGCGAGGAAATGGACAGAGAAGAATTCAGGGTTAGTCATTTATCCTTTGTAAAGTGACTCCTTGTTGAATGTCCTCTCAGATTATTATTGCCAGGGATGTCATGGCCATGGTAGCATTACTCGGATTTACAAAGGTCCATTTTATCGTTTATAGATAAAGAAAGAAATGTCTCATTCGTGATTATTTCTAATGGTGGTGAAGGACTTTTCAGATAGTTTAGTATACTACGTGGATGAGGAAATAAACTGTATCATTTAGTCTAATGAAATGACGAATTCGTGAATTGGCAGGTTATGGCTTTGGTCACGAAAACGCTACCGAGGGCGCTGTACGAGATCGTCGCCCTGCGCACGCACATCCAGTACAGCGACAGGTGAGCCGCGGGAGACGTGTGTTTCTATAATCATGCACACATAAATATATAAATGAAGAGACGCAATTTTTATACACATTCACACACCTATATACTTATATAAACACATATACACAGTTTATATACATATATACATTTATATATTTATCTATTTATTTATATGTATATACGTGTGTGCGTATGTATATATGCATGTCTGTATGTGTGTGAGAGAGTGTGTGCGTGCGTGTGTTTGAATATATGTATATACCTACACACTTATTCATTTGTTGACTCATGATGCGTTTCCCAATATCCTTCTTGGCTAAAGAGACTACATCGAGAAGATCTGCCACTTCCTGCGCCCCCCGCGACCGGCTCCGGTGCAGGACGCCCCCCTTTTGAGCGCCATCAATATCCAGTCGCATCTGGATCGCTTTGATGAAATACGGAGAGGACAGAGTAAGTGAAAGGAGAATGAGTAAGTGTTGACATTCAGCCCAAGATGTATATTTGCCAAGCGCCACCTATTATACCCTCTATCTGTCGTCATTGCAGGGGGTCAGAGCATATCTGAGGTAGTGCATTTGCATCGCGATAATGAAGGTTATGTCATCAACGAGATAGACGAGTACACCGCGTCTATCAACAAAGGTAAGTTTCTCAAGACGGTGTTGAAGTGAAGCATGCGTGCATACTGTTGCATTGTTCTGTACCTTGCGTTCTTGGATACTTGACTGCAGGAGATTTAACTAGCTTTGATTTATATAAAAGTACAAATACAATTAAAGATTGTGAGTGTAAGCTAAGTGATTCACATTCCTACACTATAAATCAAATTTCCAAGCAGGATAGTTCATTTTACATTATTAGTATTACATATTAATTTGTATATATATATATATATATATATTTTTTTTTTACAGGAGCGAGGGTATTGCCCTGGTCACAGATGTCGCAAGAGGATCGGGTTCAGATGCTTTTAAAGTAAAGACGTTTTGCAGACCTACGTTGTGTTGGTGTGCAACTGTTTTGTTTATTGGCATATTGTTTACTATTACTGCGTTTTTATTCATACAGTGCTACAGAAAGTTCAGGTCTTAATAATGTTTTCAACAGATACACGAAGAGCCCAGAAATGCCGGCAGAAAGCTACGCAGAAACAAGGAGTCTAAACTACGTGTTACTGGATCAGGAAAACGGTCAGTTTATATCCAGCTAAGCAAAACGTTAAACTTTACAGTACCAGTGTTTCATTGATTAATATATCGTTGAATTTATTTTATTGTATTTATTTACTGTTTCATCAAAATATTTTACTGAAGAATCGGCTTGTTTTTCTTTTCACATTTTTTCCAGACGGTAACGAGGATGAAGATTCGTTCCAGGTGGGCACTTCCTCCAGGTTCTTCATCACAAGAACTTCCTGTCGGTTTTGAGAGGGAGAGGGAGAGGGGAAGAGCGAGGGAGAGGGAGAGAAAGCAAGAGAGTGAGTGAGAATGAATGAAAGTTAGAGTGAGAGAGAGAGAGCAGAAGAGCGAGAGAGCAATAGAGCAAGAAAAGAAAAC